GTTGTTGAATCTCTATCCACTCGCACAGCGAAATCGGCAAGGGCTTGAGATTTGATTGCTTTCCATGATGAAATCGATGTTGAGAGCACCAAGTTCAACTGCCCACTTTGATATGCGCCCTATTGCGTCTCTGTTGTGCAAGATGTCTCCGAGCGAGAAGTCTATCACCATGGTGATCTTGTGGCTTTCAAAATAGTGGCGGAGCTTGCGTGAAGTGATCAATAGGGCGCGTCTGATGGTTTTTTGCACATGTGGGTACCGGATTTTAGATTCGTGATTAGATTACCGATATAGTATCTGGTCGTTGTACTTTATATCTGGCAGCTTCTTCTTCTCTTTCCATGACTATCGCCGTGCTGACCACAGTAGAAGTTGCCAAAATGTATAGCATCATGTCTTCGTCTTTCTTTGGAGGTGTGAGAACTGGTGAGGATGTGAGGTATGACTTAAGTTTCTTGAAAGGTTTATTGGCTTCTTCCGTTCATTCGAACTTGCCTGTCTTCTTTAGTAGTTTAAAGAAAGGTAACCTTTTTTCGCCGAGCCTTGAAATAAAACGATTGAGTGCCGCCATGTAGCCTGTTAGCTTTTGCACATCTTTGATGTTTCGAGGTGGGCCCATCTCTGTTATGGCTCGAATTTGCTTGGCGCTTGCTTCGATTCCGCGATGACTGACCAGGAAACTGAGTAGTTGTCCTGAAGGGACTCCGAATATACACTTGTTTGGGTTCAATTTTCACCTCTATCTTTTCAAGTTCTCGAAAGTTTGTTTTAAGTCCTCAATCAGTGTATCCGGGTTCTTGTTTTTTACCACCACGTCGTCCACGTATGCTTCTATGTTTTCGCCGATCTGATCTCTATGACACGTTTGGATAGCTCTTTGGTAAATGGCTCCAGCATTCTTGAGTCCAAACGATATGGTCTTGTAGCAGTAGGCACCGAACGGAGTAATGAAAGATGTCTTGCTCTGGTCTTGCTCTTTTAATGTGATATGGTGATACCCTGAATAGCAATCAAGAAAGGATAATAGGGCGGATCCTGCTGTTGAATCAACTATCTGATCAATGCGTGGCAGCCCGAACGGATCTTTCGGGCAGTGCTTGTTGAGATCTGTGTAGTCGACACACATGCGCCATTCGTCCGTGTTCTTTTTCTGTACTAGAACTGGGTTTGCTAGCCAATCTGGATGAAGGATTTCTCCAATGAATCCAGCCGCCATTAGTTTTGTGATTTCTTTTTTAATCGTTGCCTTCTTGTCAGGTGAGAATTGTCGTAGTCGTTGCTTTATAGGCTTGGAGTTTTCATTGATATCAATTCTGTGCTCAGCCAACTCTCTTGGGACACACGGCATGTCGGCCGGCTTTCAGCGAAGATATCTTTGTTGTTCAGAAGAAGTTGGTGGCCTTGAAGTTCTATTTTACTTGCGAGAGGTAGGCGGCGATGGTTCTTTGTCTTAGAGGGATCGCCAAAGGCCGAGTCAATTTGCTTGATGTCGGCTTCTTTTGGTGGTGCGAGGATCTTTGGACTTTTTAGTTGGTATATCTAGTTCTTCTTGGCTTATTTCTCTGGCAATAGTGGCTATTTCTTTTCTTTCATTGTCGGCTTGTGCTTTGGCATGATTTGGATTACTGAACGTCATTGATCAAAAGCGCTTCTTCAAATCACTTCAAAGAGAAAGGACACCGTTAGGTCCCGGCATCTTAAGCGATGAGGTATGGATAATGTGGTATTGCCATGAATTTTGCTAGCGTTGGACGTTCGATGATTGTATGGTATGATGAATCGAAGTCTGCAACCTCAAACTTGATGAACTCTCTACGGTAGTTCGAAGGAGTTCCAAAAGTAACGGGTAGAGTAATTTGTCCAAGTGGCATGACCGCCTTGCGGGTAATATGCCATAAAAAGGTGTACTTGTTGGTGTAATCATCCCATGAGTTGCGATCCCATCTTTCTTAGCATTTACGAAAAGATGATGTTGAGTCCGGCTCCCGTCGATTAGTACTTTGGTGACAGCGATCATACGGCAATAGTTGGATCTAGAACCCGATGGGTAATGGCTGCGTTTTCCACGCTAGTCCATTGGTCTTCTCTAGAAAATTAGATTGGATACTGTGACCAATTGAGATATCTTGGAATAGCCGGTTCTGCTATCATGATAGTCCGTAGTGCTAATTTTTTTTGATGTTTGCTTCTGTAATCTGGGGCCCCGGAGAAGATCACTGCTACCATCCCCCTGGATTTTTGGAATCATTTTGTCTTCGTGGTTGTCTTTATCTTTTTTTTTATTATCTTCTTTGGTGTTCTCCTTACTATCTTTTCTTGTGTATCGATCATTGAAGGTGTAGCAATTTCCGATGGTGTGCCTCTCATTAGGGTGTAATGGGCAACGTATGTTTTCGATGTCGTCATATCTTCTGGGTTTGGAAAACTTCTTTGATTTGTCAGCCATTGCCACGGTGTTGTCTGGTCTACGTTTTCTTTCCTGATGTCTGCTATTTCGATGATTTTGCTTGTCTGGGTTGTCTCGGTTGCTTCTATCTGGGAACCTCTCTCGTGTCTTCTCTTTTGCAGTAATCATCTTTTCTACTGTTCGTCTGAATTCTTCGTTGTTTCTCGGATTTTCTTTGCAGAAGTCTTGAAATTGCCACCTAGCCATGATTCCGTGAGAGAAAGCTTCAATTACTTCTCGTTCGGTGATGTCATGCACTTGAGCCCGTAGTTCGCCGAATCGTCGATATTAATCTCTGAAATTCTCACCTCCCTTCTGCTTGAGTCCTTTTAATTCTACGTGAGTGATCGGGTGTGTAATGATCCATACAAAATCTTTACAAAAAGCTCTTTGTAAGTCCTCCTAATTTCTGATTGATCCTGGATTTAATTTGTCGAACCATTAGAGAGGCATGGTTTTCAGGGCCATGGGAAAGAACATGGTCTTGATATCGTCGTCTCCTCCGGCTAGTTCAATTGATTGTGAATATATCCTGAGCCATTGCCTTGGTTCAGTTTTACCATCATACTTAGAGTGGTTGGACGGTTTGAACTTGTGAGGTAGTCGTATTGACGCAAGTCTGTTTGCAAAATAGGGGAATCTATCGTGCGTTCTGGCTTCTTTGAATTCCGATTCGGCACCTTCTTCTGGCCAATTGTTGTTTTGATGAGAGTAATTCTGCGAGGCCGTCTGGGCAGGCGTCCTACTCCTGGTCTTTCTTGGTTGTTCAACTCGGTGGCCTTGACTATGATCCCTCCTACTTTCTCTGTTATGACTTCCACTTAGTCCAAGTCTTTCGAAAGCGGACTTTCATTGATTTTGATCTTCTTGCCTATGGGTTGTTGATCTGGCGGGTAGTCTTGATTGGGTTCTTTCTTCATGCGTCCTCGAGGCCGTTGACCGGAGCAAGTCCCGAAGCTATTCATACTTTTCACCGGGATGTGAGGTCGCTCTGAATTCTTCTAATGCTTCTCGGATCTTATCGTAGGGCGTACTTGCCGTGCGTCTTTCTTCGACTTCTAGTTGTGATTTTCTTCTATCGTACTTGGCCAACTTTGACTCATATCTGATCCAGGCTTCCTTGCGCTGCCTAGCACGGTGTTGGCGTCCTTGCTTCAACTTGTTTTTTCTTTCTCTAGCTTGTTTCTGATTCTCGGTTTCACCATCGTAGCCCTGGGCAAAGGGTGATATGTTGGATTCTGATTCATCCGATGACCTGACATCGGGTGCTTCTGGGGGGACCAATGGTAACCGAGGAATGCGAACCATGAGTACTTTCCGTCGTGAATTGTTACATTGTTGGCGTTAGTTTCCACAACTTTATCGGAGTTCTGGTAACTTTAGTAGAGGCCTCGAGGTCGTAGATCGAGTTTGCTTCTTAGTAAGGTAGAATAGCCTTTGTCGTCATCGTGTAAATCGATCGGTCTTTGCTATCCTCGAGAATGAGCTCGGTCGATGGGCGATGCGATCTTGAGATGTTATAGTCGAGACACAAGAGACCTTCCCGAGCTCCCTTCATGGCATTTTAAGCACTAGGTCTAGGAATCCTTCGGACCGTGCCTGATTAGATGTTGCCATGTTGTGGAATCCGAGCGTTAAAGGATCCGACTTCTTGAAAAGATTCTACGTGTACTCCGAGTTATATTCTTGATAGGTCAGGGCCATGTTCTTAAGCCCCATCGGAAAAGAATTCGGTTTTCCGAAAGAACTCGGATATGATTCTATCTCAGATGCGGAGCCTGAATTCGAGTCGGATGCGCAAAGCCGTGAAACCTGAGTTGAATCAAACATCATGAGCTGCGCGAATCTTCCAGAGATTTGGTCTATCGTAGTCGCCGGAATAGAATAGTCTTCATGGTGTTTTGAATCTTCGAGGAGACGGCTTTGGAGCTTACCATTGTTGTCCGCTTCGCAGATCCACGAGCCGAAGATAAAAGTTGATCCCGTTGAGAAGATCATGTTGTTGAGGTCCATCGAGCTCTCGGATGCAAATTCGTCGAAGGCCCCTACCTGACGCACCAGCTGTCGATGTTTGACCACCGATAGCCTGCCACGGGGTCTCCGGGGCAGTATTGTTCGGGTTTCAGCGTATGCAGAACTCGATGGTGAACGCAAGAGACGGTCGATTTATCCTGATTCAGGCCCTCGATTGTGGTCGAGTAATAGCCCTATGTCCAGTCGACGTTAGCCTTTGTGTTGGATTAATGGTGTTGTAGAAATCGTGATCTCCCGTCTCTAGAAACCATATCCTTCTTTATTTAGTCAGGAGGTTAGAATCCTAGCCGGTTTACAATGAGAGTTCTTAGTAGAATTACAGGATAATACACTACTAAGATTACATGAAGAGAATTCTAGTTAGACTAGATCTTTTCTCCTCCTTACGAGGTATCCTGTGGGTCCCGCGACATATGCCCAATTTTCACATTTCCAAAAGCCAAACCACCACCCGTCCACCCCCCATTCTCTCTCTTTCCTTTCTCACCCCCGTGCCCGTCTCGCCTCGCAGCCGCCGCCGATGGGCTCCGGGGAGGAGCCGTCGCAGATGCGGAGGGCGCTGGTGGACTCGCTCGCGGGCGCCATCTCCGGCGGCATCTCCCGCACCGTCACCTCCCCCCTCGACGTCATCAAAATCCGCTTCCAGGTCCTCCCCCCTCCCCCTAACCTCTCCTCTCCTCCCGTGGTACATTTTCCGGCCGGGCTGTCGCGGTGCTGCTCGCTGGGGCACCACCTGCTGTTTGTTCGCAAGCTAGGTATCGTAAAATTGCGCGGTTGGGATCACCTGGGGGAGTTTTTGAGGGTCTTGGCGTGCCTCTGGAGAGGCGGTAGGTTCGGTGTTTGTATACTGGAAGCTGTTTACCTCGTCTGATTCGCGCCTGCATTGCGTATCTGCAGGAATTCGGGGTATGTGAGTGCCTGCGGCTGCGTTTGTGTCCGTTTTTTAGCGTGGGATAGATACTGGTTCGATCAATTCGGAAATGGATTAGGTATATGTAGTATTTGAAGTCACGAGGTACACATGGATTAACTGATTAACTGCGTGGTTTGGGAGCGGTTTCGTCTCTGCGCTAACTGCTAGGCATGCTGTCTATTGATTTAGGATGATGTTGCCAGTTTTAGCTTATTTCCTTGTTGTGGTAGCCTGTCTGGGCATTACCTTATATGGTCACCGTACATTTAGCAGAAATGTTGATGAGTTCTACTGTTTTATGAAAGTAAGGGTGGGGATTGCTGTTTAATCAATTAATTAACTTTTGCAACCTCACGGAACTGCTTTTGTAATAAAGCTTACCAAATGCCAATATTCATTTGGAAACATGCTTTTATTATGTGTAACCTTGATAAGAATCTCTGGATGTATGATTGATTATGGTTTTGAGGGCCCTGTTTGTCAGATAATGAACCGTTAATATCACTTGCTTAGTTTACATAAATTGGAGGTCTTCATTTTCTGCAAATATACCAAGAAATAATTAAAATTTATTTGACTAGGAGACAGTAAGATCGGAGTATCGGACTATTATGTGACAGAATAATTTTGTACCTGTACTTTTTACTCGACATTATTGCTTTCCCACTAAAATTTCCTGATAGTATTTTTTTACTTGATATTATTCCTTTCCCACTAAAATTACATGATAGTAATGAAAACAGCACAGATGCCATCGGGCGAAATGAAACTTTGCCCTTTTTACTACATTGTAATCTGTTACATATTCTATTGGTCAAAGGCATATCCGTTTTGGATGTTCAGAGGCTTCTTCTTCATTATTCTCTGCAGGTTCAGTTAGAACCCACAACCTCGTGGGGCATTCTTGAAGGGATGTATATGGACCTTCCAAATACACTGGGCTTCTGCAAGCAACCAAAGATATTCTCAGAGAGGAAGGTTTACCGGTATCTGCCTTGCCTTGAACACTTCTTGGCTAATGCCATATTGAGCTATTGAGAAACAGACTAGTACAGATACTGTTGCTCTTGCACTTGCATGCCTCTATATAATAGGTTAAACTAAACAACATTGCACAGGATACCAGTACTGTTGCACTCTAACTGTGTCTTCTTACTAGGTAGAGTCCTGCCCTATAGTCTGGAATTGGAAGAATTCTGATTTTCCTTTTAGCAATCCATGTCTATTTGAGCTTTGTTTGGACAGAAATGTGTTTGGATTTTCCACAACTTCCAGTCTTTCACATTCCCATCTACTTGTTAGACACTGTCAGGTGGCTTTTCATCTAGACATGGACATATCGATATCTCACAACTCAATGAAGCTTGCTTGGCTCTCAACAAGCAAATCATCTAAGTTGTGGCAGTAAAATGGGGTCATGACTTATTTATGTTCTGATGTAGAATACCAATGTTTCCAAATAGTCTAATCGACCGTAGTCGCCATGGCACCGACCAGCCCGACTAATCGTGACTAATTATGACTATGCCATGGCACCGATAAGGCCGACTAGTCGCAGTTATTCGGACGACTTGATAACCTTGCAGAATACATACTCACCATGTCCTTATGTCACACCTATAATGATATTTACGTTTTACTCCTGAAATCAATGATGCTAAAACCATGATGTTATATTTTTGCCTGTAAAGAATATGTTAATATATCGCATGCAAAATAAGTGAGGTGTTACTCAAGAAGGAAAGAAAGCATAGCCGAGGTCACCGGTCACCCTGTGCCACACTATAGCTTTGCATCCATCCAGTCTTTGTTCTGTTTCTTGCCTTTCTTGTGATCTGTGATAAGTGAGGTGTTTCTTGCCTTTCTCACTATTAGTATATTAATCTGTATATATGTTCTTACTGTGCAAGATTGTTACATTTCAGGGATTTTGGAGAGGAAATGTACCAGCTCTGTTGATGTATATGCCATATACAGCTATACAATTCACTGTTCTACACAAACTAAAAACATTTGCTTCTGGTTCATCTAGAACAGGTATCTTGTCTGCATAAGGCACCCATACAACTTCATTTGTTGCTGTATACTGTATTAGTTGCAAGTTGCAACAGTCATTCCCCACACCTTATGATAAGGCTTGCAGTAGTTTTCTTTCTTCTAGTGACTGCGTTCTGTGGCAAAACATGCTAAATCTTATTACCTGCACATTATATCACTCGTGCCAGAACGTGTGCCACCATAGAGGAAAAAAGTACACCTAAGCTCAACCATGGTGCTCATTTGACATTCAGTTGCTCCCATCACTTCAGTTTCAATGAATGTGCCATTTTTTTCATTCTAGGTGTTCTCAGGGATCCTATTTTCATTTTTTTGTTTTCTTCTGACAAAATGGCAGTTACAGTTCCACTAAAACTAGATTTTTTTTTTCAGTTCTGTCGTGGCATTCTCTTGGATTGTCCCATATTCCACCTTTTGGATCTTTGACGATTTCTTTATTTATGTATGATTAAACCAGGGATTATTTTGTAGTACACAACTAACTTTGGAATTGTTGGCTCATGTATCAAACTGTTGACTTCCATAGTAGTAGTGTTTTGATGTGGTTGCATCCATTATAGAAGTTGACGATGCCATGACCATAACCTATTTTAACTTGAATGGCAGTTGTTCAGATCAGTGGTGTGCACAATTTGGTGTTAGTTGAATGATTTGAACATTTCCCCAATCTCTCCTCTTTATAACTGATGCTTTTTGAATATGGTACCTTCAAAGTTAGTTAGCTGTTGTAACTCATCTCACTGCCATATTAAAAAAATCATATATATTGTTCAAAATTAAAGAACTGTTATGAGTATATGCATCTCTAAATCTTATTTGATCTATTGGTCTTTTTCTCTCTCAGAGGATCATTTGCATCTGAGCCCTTACTTATCCTATGTAAGTGGAGCTCTAGCAGGATGTGCAGCAACTCTAGGGTCATATCCATTTGACCTTCTGAGGACTATTCTTGCATCATGAGGTGAACCAAAGGTAAGTCTGATATTACCTTTGGTCTACAAAACTTTTTTTTTTGTGTGTGTGTGGAACACTTGTGGCATGTTTTGTTGTGTGTAATTGATTGGAGTGATGAGGACTTTAGGGTTAGAGACAAGTGTGTGTCTGTGGGATTTCAACAGGAAGGGAATCGGGGAATTTGTAGGTCCAACACCCACTATTTCAAAATTCAAACCTATAGAGGGGTAGTAATTGGAAGGTTATTGCTGTCTGAAGATGAATGGATGCATCCCGACCCTTCATAATTACTTAAACAGCTAAACTAGTGTCTTATCAATTTCCCGTCCCCTTTGCCAAACAAGGTGCTGGGCTTTATATTGAACTTTCTACGCCCTGTCTCATGAATAAATCATAAACTTGTTCTTTAGTTATGACTCTGTTAGCTTGGTTTGAACTGCTCATATTCTTAAAGATCTGATGTTTTAATTTTGAGGCCGATGTAGGTCCTGGAGAATTTTGTCCCGTCACTGCAAATATTTGAAAATATTATGTATTATTTTGCTTCTTATTAATGGATGCCATTATGCATGCAATTCTTTGTTGAGATTTTCTTCTACCATTTCAATGTCAATGTTTTGGCACTTCTGATGCCACACAGGGTTTGCTGATTCAGAGATCTGTACTTTTCTCTGTAGGTTTACCCCAACATGAGGTCTGCATTTGTTGATATAATTAAAACTCGTGGTGTTCAAGGGCTTTATTCTGGTCTATCTCCAACTCTTGTTGAAATCATACCATATGCCGGTTTGCAGTTCGGTTCATACGACACTTTCAAACGCTCGATGATGGTAATGACATTAAACTCACAGTTTTTGCATATTGCATACTTATATAAGTAGAGTTCCTTCTATGTTTTTTTTTTTTTTTTTTTTTTTTTTTTTAAAGAGAGTTCCTTCTATGTTGAATACATGCTTGTCAAGAATACCAAATACTTCTATGAATGCTGGTGAAATTTAGTCTTCCTGACTGTATTTTCTGCCATGCAGACATGGAACAGATATAAATATTCACATCTTAACTTAGGAAGCGAGGATGATTCGGTATCAAGTTTCCAGCTATTTCTTTGTGGGTTTGCAGCTGGGACATTTTCAAAGGCTGCATGCCACCCACTTGATGTTGTAAAGAAAAAGGTTCCAGGTGATTTTCTTGTCTTGAAAGCAACTGATTCCTCCAGTTGCTTTGTGGTATTTAGATATAGGCAAATAACTTGATACTGCATAGCTTTGAGGCAGTCATTGTGGTTTATCATTCTATGGTTGTCTGTCTGTTGTAACTACTTAGGAGTATAAAGTCCTTTATATATAACATTAGCAGAGTCCTTTTCTATATGCACTCATGTACTGTATATTGCCCCCATGGGGCTATTATTCAACACAAGTGCTAAAAATGACTCTACTAACATATACATAAAGGACTCTATACTCTAACACACACCATAGTCCACCAGGCCAGTTACCATTTCCTAATTAACTATAAAGGCAGCTGCAGGATATACCGTTTCTTTACTAAATTAATTAGGGATATACGTTTCTTTACTAAAATAGTTAGTCCTTTCTGGCTTAAAACAAAACAAAAACTTTTCATGCACCCTCCAAATTAGATAAACTCATTACTGGTATTTGGATCTTCTCTCTTGGTCATGCCAAACATTGCAACTTCAACTTTGACAAAGGATGAAG